AAACATGTCTAAGGAGAAAAGAGGGCTCTTCCAGAGCCCCTGAGGATGTCCAGTGATGAAGAGGCGCTGGTGTGAGCAGGTGTATGCAGTGGCCCTATGACCACACTGCCACATGATCAAAGGAAACCAGGGAAAAGCAATTAGAAAACCAAGTAGCAGCTAGTGTGCTCCTACGAGGGGCCGAGGGCCTGACAGGAGGGGCCCACCACCCTCGTGACTTTGGGAAGGGAGCCGTACCCTCATGTCCACGACCTCCTCGAACACACTGGCTGTGGGATCGGACTTGAGAAAGGACCCATGAGCACTTCTTCTCCCTACCCGTGCCTGCTAGGGGCCTGGGGCAGGCATGAGCGGGGGTCACTGTGACAAGGCACAGGTGTGCATGGGGTGCCGGGGAAGTTGGGACAGCCCTCCCTCGGCAGGTGATGAGCAAGGCACCAGAAAGAAGGAGCAAGGGGAGGCCAGGGGGCGGGGCGGGGCAAAGGACACAGCGGCAAGAGCAGGGCCACAGGGAGCAAAAGTCAGACTCCTGCCCCGGGGGTGGGTGGGGGCTGAACCAAGCTGCCAGCTCCCACTCCCCACCCCACCACACTAGGAAGAGCCCCACAGGGGGCCCAGGTTCTGCCTCGCTGGGCTGGCCCGGCCTCACGGGCTCACCTTTGGTGATAGTGGTGACAGCTGAAAAGGCGGGCCCGAAGGTCGTTTCCATTCTGGTCTGGAAAGAGAACTGATGAGACTCGTGGACTCCAGAGAGAACATGGACACACGTGGACATGCAATGACATGCTTTCACACTAACACACCACCCACACACACATCACAGCCTGCCCACCGGACCTCCACGTGGGGAGCAGACTGCTCTGGAAGCTCTACTGGGGGAACCCCGGACCTATGGGGGGTACACAAAAAGCAGACCCTTACTCATGGGGTGTCCCTTACCCCGGAGCCGACGTCTGGGGTGGGAAGATTGGCAGGTCCCCCAGAGAAGCGGTTGTACCAGGCGCTTTTGCCCAAGCTCATGCTCTAGAGAGGCATCTAGGGTCCTCGGGCAGCGTCTCCTGTGGGGGGAGCACACAGAGGGGCTTTAGAGACGGTGGCCGACCCCGTCAGCTGGCCAGGGCTGCTCCACACAGCAGCCTGCTCTGACCAGTCACCACAGGGCACGCCTCCACCTTTCTCCATCGCCAATACCAGCAAGGGCAGTCCATCCGGGCAGCTCCTTCCTTCCCTCCCTCCCGTCCCAGGTGTGACAGGCCTGAGGCAGGGAGGAGGCCCTGGGTGCAGGCAGGCAACGGGCACTCCGTTTTACTCTCCTTTAAGGCTTAACCCTTCGGAAATGCCCACCAGCTTCAACCCAGAGGTGGAGAGCCCCACCCAAGCTCTGTCTGCTCCTCCGGGACTGAGGGCCAAATGTCCCTGGGGCCAAGGCTGGGCACACAGTGACCGGGTTACATGCCGAGCCCCTGCCACAATGGCAGAGACACTGGCCATGCCCCAGAGGACCTATTGGGTGCTGTGCCTGGAGCCCAGCTCCTCACAAGCCTCATCACATAAAGAAAGCCCTTCTGGGCAGGGGCGGGGAGGGACCGAGAGAGGAGCCAACTCTTCACCCTGGAAACAAAGGACACCCTCTTGCCCCCCAACTGGGTGACTCCAATCTCAGGGGTTGGAGGCAGGGAGAAGGCAAAGTGTGAACCCTCCCAGGACCCCAACGATCCCACCCCCCAGAAGAGAGGGACTAGAGTGGCCCAGGAGCACCAGCCAGGCCCGGGTATCCTGTAGAAGAGGGAAGATCAGAGATACTGATGACAGCCGCAAGACTGCTCTACTGCCGGCCGGCGCCCACCCTCCAGTGGTCCAATCAGCAGGTGCCCTTCCAGTGGTCTTCCTACCGCCATGACACACAGCAGTCTGTAGCCAGGAACCCCACCTGCCCCCACTGGGATAGAGCCGGTTGTGTTGAGCCACAGGCCCAGGCTTGAAGCTGGGCTCCCCATGGGGAGGGAGGCCAGACTCATTCTGCTCCCAGTGGGAGGCTGCTGAGCCCCCCACACTGTGGGAGAAGGTGGGAGACACACTGTGAGGTGAGTACAGCATGGAGGGCAACTGCACAGTCCAACTGGTTCTGTCATTTTCTCCATCAGGCCCTCCTGACCTGGCCCATCTGGCAATGTCTCCCTCCCTACACACCCCGGCAATGCAATGTGACCTAGGGTCTACCCAGGGGTTCTCCATGCGGGTCTCAGGGAGGGGGCTGGTTCCTGAGCCCTGTGTCCCCTCACTGTGCTCATGAGCTACCTGCCATCCCTGCTGTCTTCTTGTCCCTCTCTCCCCATCTGCCTCTTCAAATGCCACCTGCAATGCCACCCTCCCAGCCTTCATGCCTCAGTCCTCCTCGGGAAGGCTCTCGGACCCTGAAGTTGGCACTGACACCAGGCACTACCCCTACCCCGGGTTCTGAATGCCCTTTGGGTCCAGTGAGATAGGGAGTCCTGGGAGTTTGGCCAAAGCCTGTCCACCGCTCCCCCTGCTGTGCCACAGACCAGGCTCTCTAGTGGCTTGTCCTCTGGGGACAGGCAGAGTCTCCTGAGAGTGGGCAGTGCCACGCTCTCAGGCAGAGGTGTGACCATGGGCTGTCCGGGAGCCTCACCTCCAGCACCGCTGCTGGTCTCCACGCTAAGAAGGAAGTTTTGAGGGCCACCCTGCTTTGTGTAAGAACACCTTGCCAGGGTGAGGCCCAGAGAGCTCAAAGCAGGAGCTCCAGGACTCAACCAGCAGGTGGAAAGGCTCCGCCTTCTCAGGAAACCCAAGGTTCACTCATGTCTCAGCAACACAGGGCAGAGAGGAGGGTGGACCCACAGGGAGGTCACTAGCTGAATCGACCTGCATTTACAATCCATCTGCTCCCTCCACTGCAAGCTCCCAGGGCCAAGAGGCCAGCCGATGGCTCCAGTGAGCAGTGCCTGAGGTCCGGGGCCAGGACACCAGCAGGCATTCCCCCTGGGACCACGGCCAGCCCACCAGCCCCTATGGGTCCAGCCTGCCCAAGTGCAGTCTGGGAGAGCAGGCGGCTGGCTGTCCCTCGCTATAAAATGAAGTAAACAGAAAGGCATGCGGGGCTCACTGGAAAGTCCCGGGAGGCCAATAGCGGCCAGGCCCACAGCCCTGACACATAACCTGGTGAGGAACCTACAAGATTGGCCCACCAGTCAAGCTGAGCCAGGGAAGGAGGGAGGGAACCGTTTCCGGGTTCACACGGGTTCAGCATACAGCCCCAGCCAGGGACTGGGGTGGGGGACCCAGTGCTGCAGTCCAGCACCCCTCATCAGTATGCCCCGCCCAGCCCTGAACACAGTGACTGCTTGCTAAACATCTCAGAATTGAGCAAGATGCTCTCAGCCCGGTCCCCCAAGGACTGCATTTTGCAATAACAGTCTTCCCCTTATGGTGTCTTCCGGCCCTGCAGGCCAAAACCCCAGCTATGGGAATGCTGGGCCCAGCTGTCCTGGGGATGTGCCCTCTGCCACCCCCAGGGCAGGAGACCGCTTCCCCACCCCATAGTCAGCCTGAGGCTCTCGGGCTGTCAGAAAGTGGTATCTAGAGCAAGAATCCTCATTGCCTGAAGGCCTGGTCTCGGCCAAACTGGGAAAAGCCTTGGGCTGAGCAGACTAGGGAACCCTGGGTGAGGGTGGGGAGGGTGAGAAAGGCTTTCCTCCCCTCAGCTCCCTCCAAGCCTCCACCCGGCCTGTTTCCAGAGGCCTCAGGGTAGCCCAGGGGAGGAGCCCAAGGATCTTTGTCTACCCAGGTCCATATCCCGGGAGCCCCTTGGATATGGACATAAGAAACCACAGAGCCACCTGCAGTGCTCTAGCCCCTCTTTAGGCAAGCCCCCCCCCAGACCCCTTCTCTGAGCAGCCTGCATGGGAGGGCAGGCCAGCTAGTTGGGAACCTCTCCCCAGCCCATCCCTGGAGAGAGCCCATGATCTGCTGCCCCCCAGAGGGGTTGTGGATCCGGTGTAGCTGGAGTTCCCGCCCATTGGGTCCTGTGGCTAGTAGCCAGGGGAGTGGGGGGCCCAGGCTGGCCATGCTGAAGTCAGGGACAGAGGGGTGGCCAGATTCAGGTCCCCACTAGGGACCAAGCCTTGCCATGAGGCAGCTCCTCGAGCACCCCCAGGCCTTTGCACATCTTGCTTCCTCTGCCCGGCATGCTCTTCAAGCAACTTCCAGGGCAGTCTGCTTTCTATAGGTCCCCCAACCCACCCCAAACCTTTCAGGAGCCTTCCGTACTCTCTCAGCGCCCTGTTTCTTTCATAGCACCTGCCACAGTCTCCATGAATTTGTCTGTATTATCAGCCCTACGCCCTCTCTAGATCACTGGTTGTCAAGAGGGGAGGATTTTGTCCCCCAGGAGATGTTTGACAACATCTGGAAGACATTTCTGGTTGTCACAACGGTGTTGGGAAAGGTTACTGGTATCTACCGGGTGGAGAGCAGGGATGTGGCTCAACACTCTAAAAGGCACAGCAGAGAATGATTGGCGCTGAGTATCAACAGTGACGGGGGTAAGAAATCCTTCCCTAGAAGAGCCTCTGAGAACTGGGATCCTGCTCTCCATGGTCTTCCGGCGCCTACAACAGTGCCGGGCACACCGGCGGCGCTCAATAAACCCAGGAAGAAGGAATGAATAAAGAGGAAGAGGAAAAAAGAATGGAGCGCGCGATGGGCCAGCTGACAGTCAAAGAAAGGGACAGGAGCGGAGACCCCGTTTCGTCTCAGCCCCGCCCCCCAGGCTCAACCCTTCGCCGACCCCGAAGCACCCGCACCCGCCCCACCGTGCGGCTCCGGGGCGTGAGCCCCCCGCCGGGCGCGCCGCGGGGACACTCACCCGCCCGCCGCCGCCGCCCGGGAGTGGCAGCGCCACCCTCCCTCTTCATCGTGCCCCCACGGCCGCCGGCTTGGAAAGGGACTGGACGCGCGAGCCGGAAGTGCTCAGGCGCGGAGGCCGTCGGGACTTGTAGTTCTCCGGCTCCCTCAAGGCCCGCGCAGCCGCCTCCAGAGCGACTCTTCAGAAACTACGACTTCCGGCGACTCAGATGTCGCGGGACGGGATTGGCAACTTAAGAATCAGTCTATGTAGCAGGTAGGAGGCTGATTGGCTCTGTGCATCCGTCACTCACAGGTTTAATAGTCTCTTCAAAAGGGAGGATGGCCCCAAAAAGAAATGCTGTGGCGCTATTGGTGGAATCAAGGAGTAGACAGCGGAGCGTATCAGCAGCGGGGGTGGAGGATGGTACTTCCGCTGGGATTGCCCAATCGCCGAGGTGGGGCAGTTTCTATAAAAGCTTGAACCTCAGCCGTCCTCGCTCTTTTGGGATAAACTTCAGGGCGGAAGAGCATTGCCTCCGTGTGCTACGCTTGGAGAGGACCTGAGCACCGAGTGAAGCTGAGGGGGTCGCCCAAACCCGTAGGCCGGCATAGCCCCGGGGTCGTGGTCCTCGGCACTGTCACATGTTCCTTCCGCGCTCACCTCCCCAGTTCCGGCGGGGAAGTCCGAACCTCCAGACCTGCAGCTTCCCACAGGTGAGACTGGGCCCGGCCTGGCTTTCCCGATGTCGCCCAAAGCCTATGATGAGTTGCTTTAATTTCTGACACCTCGTATGAAAACTGCACGTGCAGTCTGATTATTTTGCAAGACTGAGGCTTCGGGCCTCCACCTGCCATTGGCGGGTGGGTCTGGGGGTGAAGACAGATGGGGAGAGTGGGCTTCTGTCTAACCTTCGCCACTCTTTGCCTTTCAGTGCCGTTGATGGGCTGGTTGGAGACCTTGAATGTGAATCAGCGTCAGTCAGTCCAGGGGACCTGGTGGTAAGTAAGGCTGGAGAAGTACTGTGAGAAGCAAATGATCTTTTCATACATCTTTCATTCCAAGATGTAACCCAGACATGCGGAAGGCATTTTGTGACTTAACTTGAGACTAACAGTCCACATCTGCCCGAAGTGCTTAGCAATAAAAGCAAAAGTGGTATGAGTTGATTGGGTGACGAGTCTTTATTTTTCACACCAAACGACTCC